TTGTCCAACATGCGGCCAGCAAAGTCTCTGATGTCCATTTCCAATGCCGGGTCAGGCTTGCTCTCCCACACATCCACTCTGACTGGTACCCCCATCATGGAGGAGAAGCGGGATGACAAGAGTTGGAAGGGCAGCCTAGGTAATAATAGTAAATAAGGAAAATCATGTTTAAAGAAAGCCCTTACCTTACTAAGTACATCACACAGCAGGGAAAAGGAGCAGTGGCCCAGTTTCTAGAGAGGAAGATGTACCAGATTAGGATTTTTCCCTCCTGAGGGGCTACTACATACCCAGGAGCTCCTCCACACTGTGAGGTTTCATGGTTGAGAACATCAACTTGAGGCCAAATCCTAAAAAAAAAAAAAAAAAACGAATCCTGAGTTCTTTTTGGGTGGAATGGAAGATAACCTCAATTTCATCTAAAAACTTCTCAGATTTGGCCTTTGTCATGTGGGAGCCTAATCTTTGTCCAAAGTCCACGTAGATTTCATGTCATGAAAAAAATTTTAATTCCAGCATTTCTGTGTTCCTTCCTCCTCTACAATAGGAAGACTCAGAGTTCTCATTAAGCTAAATGGAGTTGAGTAGCAGGTTTTAGTTACCAGAATGTTCCAATATGAGAACAGAATGTATTTTTTCATTCCGTTACTATCCATTCTGTCTCTTCTAATCAAAATCTCAGAAGTACGATAGATAACACGAGGCACATTTTTAGAGCTTAGGGAAGCAACATGAGGCACATTTTTAGAGCTTGGGGAAGCAAACTAAATACATTTTTTATATTTTAGCTCTTTCTGTTGTTTTCAATACCTTCCTTGATCCTCTGGCATTTGCAGTGTCCTTTAATTAGAGTAAACATTCTGGTAAACCTGATCATGGTCTGAACCTTTGATCACATGATTATTAGGACCCTCAAGTGTATCCACAGACTTCCCCCACACACCCATGGCCCTTTTCAGCTCTTTGGTAATGTGTAGTGTTGGTTATAACTGGAACAGACTAGAATTCTAACAACTTGATGAAACTCAACCACCATTGAAAAAGTAAATCAAAGTAGATACCCTGAACACTTACAGGTTTAATACATGGTGCTGTGAATTGAATAATGAGGGCAAGAAGAAATCTTCTAAATCCAAAAGCATCTTTTTTTAATCTGTGGTGAGAGGTACCTGACTCCAGAGGTTCACTGGAGGCAAAAATAAAGAATTTAGACTCATTCACATTTCTCCTGAACTACAAAAGAGAATAGCTTATCAGATATCTGGTTTGAAATCACCTACTGTTCTCTAACATCTTTCCCTGCTTCATTTGTAGGTATTCTCCTGGGTGGAGACTACCGTGCTGAATCTGTTCCATCCACACCCTCACCTGTGCCCCCTTCCACTCCTCTGCTCTCGGCTCATGCCAAGACAGGTAGCCGAGACTGCAGCACCCAAACCGAACGTGGAACGGAACCAAACAAAACTGCAGCTGTTGCTCCCATCTCTGTTCCTGCTCCAGTTGCTGCTGCTGCCACTGCTGCTGCCATCACTGCCACTGCTGCCACCAGCACTGCCACTGCTGCCACCAACACCACAATCATGGTAGCTGCTGCTCCAGTTGCTGTTGCTGCTGCTGCTGCTCCAGCTGCTGCTGCTGCTGCCCCATCTCCAGCAACTGCTGCTGCTATTGCTACTGCTGTTGCTCCAGCTGCTGCTGCTCAGATTCCAGCTGCCGCATCTGCTGCTGCTGCTGCTCCTGCTGTTGCTCCTGTTCCTGCCACTGCTGCCGCTGCTGCTTCTGTTCAGGTTGCTCCAGCTGCTCCAGCTCTGGTTCCAACTCCAGCTCCAGCTCCAGCTCCAGCTCCAGTTCCCGTTCCTGCTCCAGCAGCAGCTCAGGCTTCTGCTCCGGTTCAGACTCAGGCACCAACTTCAGCTCTGGCTGTGGCTCCTCCGCCAGCTCCAACTCCAACTCCAGCTTTGGCTCAGGCTGAGGCTCCTGCAAGTCCAGCTACCAGTTCTGGACCACGTTGTTTGTCTATACCAAATTTGACCTGCAATCTAGACAAGACAGGTAATAATAATTCTGTGTATCAGGTAGCTTTTGGGTTTGTTCTCAAATACAGATCTATTTGTTGGTGTCTGCTATTTAGGCAGAGTTTGTCATTTGGACTGAGTTTTTCATGTTCAGAGGGGATTAGCCGAGGAAAGAAAGAGAGTCTGTAAATGACTTTTCTCATCCACTAAGATGGGATCAGCCTTGAGTAAAGGCCATTCTTCCAGTAAAGTAAATGAGAAGGGTAGTAGGCAAGTCACATTTAGCCATCAGCTTCATGACAGCTCTAATGCTGTCTGTTTGTTGAAAGTTGGGTTTGTACTTTGTCCCTAAATGTTTTTTAACCCCTTATTTCCATTCAGATGCTCCTGTTTTCCACTCCAATACGCTGGAAAGAAAAGCTCCCATTCAGATCCTGGGACAAGAACCTGATGCAGAGATGGTGGAATATCTCATCTAACTGCCCAATCAAGAGCTGCAATTTATCAGCAAAAATGCTTTCAATCATTTTCCCCTTTTGTTTGTTCTTATTCTGATGGTGAAAAAAAGGGTTGGGGGAGGGGATGTTTTTTAAAGGGACTTTTTATTGGAACAATATAATACCTTAGTAATACCATAAGAATTCCAGTCTTATTCTGGTATACTCCAGTATACCTCTAAAGGGTAGATTAATCAGAATGTGCTCCCAAGTTTATTGTTGCGATTTATACAAATACTGGAACTGTTAACAGGTAGATGATATGCATTGATGTTTCCAAATGCTTAAATTTCTTTAAAATTCCCCTATTCAAAATCATTTTTCATTGAAGAGCACAGTATGTGTGGAAGGCAGTGTGTAACATGTAGTTCAGAAGTGAAAAGTCAGAAAGAATTTGAGTATGTGCTGCTTTTGTGACTATCTAGACAGCAGCCACAAAAAGCTCTTACCTCTGGCTCATGAAAGGGGATTGTCTTAGAAGCTATGGAAGCTGGAGAAAAGGTAGGAAGTATTGGGGTGCAGAAGGTGCTGGAGCTAATTTTCCCTCCCAGTTTCCAGCTACCCTGTCCAATAGAATGTGTTTATCTTCATTTCAGCTGTACTTTGGAAGTAGATTCTTTTGGTGCCCTCATGGAGGTTCATATGTTCATATATATACACTCTGGAGTAATTTATGCATTTGGATAATTAATATATTGCTCTCAGATGCTAAGAGAGTAAATGAACTGAGTGATGCACAGCTTCCTCTCTTGTAGGGAGTTAGACATCAGAGGCCTTGATGGAGGGCTGCATGAGATGCTGCATGCAGACTTTTGTGGTCTGGGTGTAGCCATGAACTCAGCTCATTTGCTTAGACCAGTCAGCTTAGTGTTTATTTCTTCCACTACACAGATTCGCTGGCAGGGTCACCAGTCTCCAGTTGCCAGTCATTTGTAAAATGAGGAAGCATTTTTTGGTAACTGTTTGAATGCTTTGAATTTCTGATGGCCACTTTAAAATAATTAGTTTTGTTTCTTCAAATTCTTAGTATATGTCTTCAAAAGCATATGAGACTGTCACCTTCAATGGAATAGTATCAGAAGTCCAATGTACCAAGCTGCAGTCATGGGGAGAGGTTGGTTGTAGCCATCTCCTCAACTACCTCTTCTCACTGCCAGTTATTCTATCTTGAACTGTCTTTGGGAAGCAGTGGAAATGCGCATGTGGGTGAGGACCAAAGGACACTGCAGCAGCAAGTCCTGCCATAGGGCTGTCTCCAGGGACACAGAGGAATGCCAGTTGCCACAGGTCCTTGGCCTGCATCACCTCTCTGCTCTTCATTAAGGTGATAAATATGAAGATAGTTCCATTAAGATCAGTTTTCAGGGGTATAGGGAGGGTGAAGGGAGTTGGGGGGGTGTTAGGTAAGGGGGTAGAGGTTTGGGGATGTGTTAGTTAGAAACCAGATTAATAGAAGAGTAGCTTGATACACTAATGTGATGAGCCATAGTGGTGGGAAGGACCTTTAGCAGTATAGCCCTACCCTCTAATTTTAGTGATGAGGAATATAAGACTTGGAGAGGTTTAGTGACTTTTGCAAGATCACAAACAGCATATCTGTCCACTCTGCCAATTGCCATTGCCTATTTTTAGAAACACTTATATACAAAAAAGAAAAGTCCATTCTTAAGAAAAGGCATATTATTCATGGTTCAGGGTGTATGCATTTTGTTAAATGTCCCTGGATAGAGTAGATTTTTATCTTGCCTCTCTCGTGTAGTGCCTTGTACAGGTTTTTCCTTTCCTGATTCTCATTTCAACTTGGTGTCACATGAAAATTCCTCCTAAGAAATCAATGCTACTTTTTTTCTTGCTATGAGATTGGGTGTCATTGGTCATTTTACAGGGCTCCTCTTTAAGTATAGGAATGGTGTGTTTATCCAAACTCTTTTTAGTTTCTAATTTTTCTAAATGAATTATTTTGTGTATGTATGGGTGGGAGGAGAAACAAGAGGGACGGCAATGTGATTTTCAGCCAGTCTTTTCACATTTTCAATAATGAAGTGATCATCCTATACGTTAGTCCTCAGTTATAAAGCAAATATCAAGTAGAAATTAAAAGTGAAGTCTTGCTAATACTCATTCATATTACCCTTTAGTCATAAAGGGAAAATATCTTCAAATAGTAGAAGTAGCAAGTAGAAACATCAGGAGAGCAGATAAATAAAAATAAACATTTCATGGTGATAAAACATTGCCAGAGTTTTTGCTAGCTCTTGGAACCACGATTGTAATCACTTCTGTTCTGTAAGGTGACAGATATCATACATTCCACACTGTGGCAGCCATCACTTTGACTCATGTGTTTTGGAGAAAAAAGGAAGTTCTTGCCTAAGTACTATTTTGAACTTTCCAGAACTTCTCTGCCCTCTCAGAAAGAGGCAGTCCCTCTCTGTTCAATGTTCAATCTCAGGTAATTTGCTAAAATAACATTGTACATCTATGAGATGGAAGAAGACCATATTGGTATATCCTGTTTACGGAGAATATAGATTCTGCCTTTTCAGAAAGGTGTCATTTTAAAAATTCAAGTTCATGGGTAAAATCTCAAGTTAGCCACCTTTTCAAAATTGTATGGATGTAACATTTGGTGTATCTTTCTGTACTTTTATCTATCTATGCATTTTACTGGCACCTCAGGACAGGAGGGTGACCTTGTCTTAATTTGTACTGTCTGGTGGTCTGTGGGGACCTTCTAATTCAGTTGTACCCCAGTGTCCCATGTATAGGAAAACTTCATTAGAATAATTTACTTGATATAAAACTCTTATTGACAATGTTTTGGAAATAAAAGTAGCTTGAGCTTTCTTTTAAAATAATGTATCTTGGTTGTTGACTTAATGAAGGATTTAGTCTCAAAGCTGCTTTTGAGCTGCAAGGTGATAGGACAGCAGGAACTTGAATTATCTGCCAGCATCTGCCATAAGAAACATACCAAGGGACCTACCATAATCTCTTTTTTGTTGTTACACTGTTGGGTGGGTATAATAATTAGAAATGAACAAACTGATTTCCAAACTCTTTATAAAGAGCTTAAATTATGCGGTGGCTTATGATATATACAACATATGTGCTAACTTTGATAAATTATATTCTCATGTCTGTTAGCCATACAATTTCCTGTTATCTCAAATGCTCAATTCATATATGGAATATATTACTTTAAAATGTGTGCCTTCTTATTGAAAATGTTTTCAAAGCAAAGAATCAGTTGTGAGCCCATTGCCACCAGTTTCATCCCACTATAATCCTTAGAAATACATGTTCCAAGTGCCATCCATCATCAGTAGGACAAGCGTCGGGAGTTTGTTTATTTTCTTCCAGTAGCAATGATGAGTTACACGGAGCTAGCAAACCTCCTTCTGACCTCCCTTTTGATTAATGGCATGTGTTTGTAAAATGGTTAGCTGGGGTTGGCAGATGGCTAGTGAATAATTGCCTTTGGTTTAAAATGTATGTGGTCCCATAATGATTATGATCCTATTCTGTAATCAGTGGAGTTAGTTCCAATAAAGTTAAGCAGGTTTAAATCCACTTTGTGCCTATCTTTTCACTGACAATAAAGTTAGCTATTTTAAAATGCAGCACTGTGTGGAAAATGCTTTGGTGTTTACCCAACAGAGGCTTTATTTGTGCTGTATCAGTGATTACTTTCAATTCAGTATGCAGTAAAATTGCCTTTCAATGGCAGCATGCAGCAGAATTTGCATTTGCTTGAAGTATGTATTGTGACTATAGATTATAAAGTATTAAGGCAACACCATAGGTCACGTGCTCTAATCAGTCTCTTTATATACACAGGCAGCATATACATTAAGAGCTTTGCATCTTTTTATCTCCTGGTTCTGAGGCATAAAATGATGGCCACCCAAAGCAGAGAATTCATCCTCTAGTTAGAGTTTTGGAAGGCCCTTTGATATTCCTTTTGTACCCTTGTTCCTATGCCAATTCATCAGTCTTGGTTGAGGGAGATTGTTACTAAAAGCAAATCAAAACCACAAACAAGTTGGCTTTTCACTGAAAATGTTAAGTGTGCCTTTACACTGCTCTTTCTGTGCCTCCTGCTTACTAGCGAGTTCCAAAATTGACTCCAGATGAAGGAATCCCCAAGGACTTTGAAATGACATGTTTTCACAGTGAAATTTGCTTGATGGGTGTTGCAAAAGGGATGGAGCAGGGGTATAAAATATTCAAATGTAGATTTGACTTTTTTCAGTTGGGCTTCATTACCTTCAAATTTATTAAGAATTATTTGAAAACCGTATTCATAAAATCCTACTCCTCTTTCAGGATAAAGAAGGTGATATTAAGTGAACCACATCTTCTTACAAAGCTTTGTAAACCATTCCTATCAGAAATATCTTCTTAATGAGCATTCACTTGTGGGAAGAAAAAGCAAGGGTTTCTTCAAAATGTGTGACATCACATTGTAGGAACATTTCTAGAAATTATCAAGTAGGATGATATAACTTGGTCTGGTATTTTCCTGGTACTTCAAGCTGCTAGTCTTCCATACTAGGATCAGAGGTCTGCATAGCCTCTGTGAGTTACACAGTGACCAAAAAAACCCCACTTCCTGCTTCCCACCTTCTCCGTTGCCATCTTGCCCAAATGAAGGGTTATTTTTGGGGGGCAGGTAAAGAATGTAAATGGTTTGGTCTTTGAACACTTTTTACATTGAATGATAATCATTCTGATATTTGAATGAAAAAGAGCCCTCAGTGACAGAACTTACTTTCCAAAAACATCAAAAGTACATACCACCTCACAAGTAGATGCTGAAACTGACCAAACCCAGGGTATCTTTTGCTGCACCTGCTTTGTCACTTGCAATCGCATCTACCAATGGATTTAGGCATGTGTGAGTTGCTGATTATACATTTAATAGATGTTGCCATTGTGGAAAAAACCCTAGAATACAAAATTTTTGAAAAGTCCATGATGCTAGTTTATTAGGGAAAACTAACACCCCCACATACACCAACACACACATTTACAATTCACTGTGCTAGATGAAATGGCAAACATTTCAACAAGTTACAAAACTAGCACATAGGAGGGAGTGATTGCTGAGATGGCACAGGAGTTGCAGAAAGGAACTAACTTGAGTTTGAAGGATATGCAGGTGTTAACTAGGCATTGGGGTGCACATTCCGTGTAGCAGAAGTAGGATATGCAAAATGCAACCTCACTTTGTAAAACCCACAATCTAATGAAGACTTTCCAAGATCAAAGACCCAAGAGAATTGTTTTGAGTGTTAACAACCTCCTAATGGAAACTTCCAAATTCAATCATGTTGTAGAATGTACTAGTGTGGAAGTCAACAGAAAATGGAGGTATAGTCCTATGTCTACCACTAAACAGATGTTCATCTGTAGACAAGTTCTTTAACAGATCAGAGATCTATCAGTAAAATGAGGGTTAAAAATGTCCCTGTGGACTTTATGGAGAAGGGAGAGGAGAGCCCCACAAAGTGAGAATATAAAAAGATGTCAGTCAAAACCATGATCTAAGTCTATAAAGAAATGGTTTCTTTATCATTATTAAAAAATTAAGCATGCAAAAACAATATCCAGGGCACCTCTGTGAACCCATTATTGGGCCTCAACAATTATCAATGCATGGTTAATCTTGCGTCATTTATTGCCCCCACCCACCTAACATATTATCTTGAAGGATCCCAGACATCATAGCATTTTGTCTGTAACTATTTCAATGTGTTCATGTTCACAAAGCTTCTTCATGTGATCCTTCAACTTCTGCCTTAAACCAAAACCTCTCAAAAACAGAGGGGTTTATCCTCCCTAGATGCATATATCAAAATGCAGGACATTTTCTTTAAAGGTTCCACAATGTAGGTTGCAATTTTTAATTCCTTCTCCACTCATATAAAAAGTTTTGTTTTAACATTTTTCTGGATGTTTCTTGTTTATCCTCATCAACTGATTTGGTTACTATCTCAAGTACTTTGATGATTTTGGCCCTTGTATCACAGTTATCTCTCTACTGCTAGAGGATCCAACCAGTATCCTGGCCTGTCAGCTACTTGGCCTGTCCACAATCCACTCCACTTCAGCCTGCTCTGCTCATGGTCAACATAGATTTGGTCATCATTTAACACTGTTCCACTGTGGACACCATGTCCTCGATTACCCCACTTTCTGGCCAGTCTCCTACCTTCTCAGTTCACATACTCTGACTCTATCTTCCCTTTAATTTCAGAAAAGCCTCAAGTCCCTTGATGCCTCCCTTTCTTCCAGGCTGATCTGGGCCTCATGCAAAATCACTTAAACCTCCAATTCATTCATATGCCATAACACAAGTCAGAAACTTAGGAGTCATCCTTGACAACTCCCTCTCCCGCATAGCCTACATCAAATCTATTACTGATCCTATCAACATGAATCTCAAAATAAACCATTCACCTCTTTCCAACTCTACTGCCAACCACCTCTTCTAAGCCACCGGTTTGGACTATTTCAATAGCTTATTTACTGATCTGCCATGCTCACAGTTGTTTCACTCTTTTATTCCTGTCCCTATTCAGCAACACATATAATTCTTGACATGTAATTCTCCTGTTTAAAATCTTTCAAAAGTTTAGCATTGCAATATATAAATAAAATGGGACCACATTAGGTAAAACAGCTAACCCAATGCAGTGGATGGATTTGGAATTAGGACACAGATATTTTGGACTCAGTCTGTCAGAATCATTTTCATGGACATCACATTAAAACCCCAACACAGTATTTTTTACTTAACTGCCAAACACACATCCATATTATTATTCCTGAACTTCATGTTATTTTTTGCTGCTTTATAATGGAAATGGTTTTGTAATACCATTTTCTATTGAGAGACTATAAGGATAATTTAGTCTTTCTGCTAACATAGTTGATCAAAAATTTATCATTGCTGTTGATAGTTGAGACACTAATGCATGCAACTTCACATACAGGTGTTCTCTGTGCTTATAGAACTAACTCAGATTTGTGCTCTAAAAGCATAAGACTCCAGATAAATTGCATTTTATGCAATTCCCATCCAGAATAAATAAAAGTACAATGCATAGTTGTGTATACTGTGTTATTGAGTATATTCCTAACAGAAGAATTTCTTCTGTGACTAAACATTAGTGACACCCAAATATTCTTCATATCATTTTATAAATCAGTGAATGATTAAACGAATTTTCCACAAACAAGCTTTTTAATCCATACATTTCAAATATTATTTGTTCTCCAGTACTACATGTTATCAGAACAAGTACCATAAGAGACATTCATATAGTGATAAAACCTCTGCCTTTGTGCATTTGTATCACCATGCTGGACAAATCAGCAGAGTGAGTAGTAGGACTATTTCTATAATTAATTCCTTTACCAGGAGTATTTAGTAAGGGCATATCTATGCACAGGGCTGATAGAAAATCATACAAATCACTTAAATATAATATCACTAAACACAGACTAATATACCTCCAACTTAACTTACCCTTTGCTGAATCTCAAACATGAGGGAAAGTGTAATAGATGGGAAACAGAATGAATAGTAGGGTTCTCCAGAAAGAATACATATTGTTGATAATATATATTTGGTTCTTTGTCTATTCTCATTCTTTTCAGTCTCTCTAAGCCTAACCAAGTTCAGAGAATATCTGCCTCTTCTGTACTCATCCCAGTTCTTGGACCTGTTAGTGCAAACCAAGGTGTACCTTTTATGCTTTTTGAGATCTGTGGGATTCTTCTTATACTCTCAGTGTTTCTCCTCTACTTCTTATTGTCTCTTAATTCCATATCTCAGATATTTCTGAGTTTGTAGGTCATATTTATCTTAGTGGCTACATGGAACATTTAGGGTGTTTATTTTTATCTCCCTTACATAATTTCCAGGAAATGATAGGAAAAGTACTGACATAATGCAGATTTTGATATGGTAAATGACTTTGTCTATTTTTACTCATTGTTGTATATCACAATGCCTAAAATAATGCTTGATATAAAATAAGAACTTGATAAATATTGTTTTGATAAAGGAATGAATGATTAATTCAGTAAACTGCATTTTGTACTCTTGTTTCTGAGCTATTGTGATTGCTAGAGAAAGATGTGTAGATAGGTGCCACCACATATATATAAGCTCCAATTTCAGCTGGGACATTCTGAACTTGCCCTCAGCCAACTTGTTCCTCTTAGCAAGTTACAGTCATGTGCCACATATCAACGGTTTGGTAAACTATGTT